GTTTAATTGACTTGATGCTATACTCTGATTAAAAAGTGTTCCTTTAATTATTTTGAGCAGTGTATTTGCTTTGGTATTGTCCATAAAAAGGCTTGTCTATTATTTTTACTCTCTGATGGATGTATTGTTTTAGTGATGTGTCCAGAGCTATGCATGTGGTTTCCTTGGTTACTGTGCAAGCTTCGCCCGGAAGATAATTTTTTTGTCACTTCTGGTCTATTATGTGCTAGGATTTTTAACCATTATGTTCTTGTATGGCTCCGGACTGGATGCGAACACCATTTCCGGTTGTTTATTGACATCACTTCTGAAATTAGCTGCACAAGCCAGAGGTGGTGCTGTACAATTCAAAATACCTATTTTCTTTTTTTTCAACTAGGATGTGCTAAGGAGATTTTATCAATACGATGACTCTTAATATATTATGTTCTTATGATGTATAGCCATATTTGCTCTAATTTTCCAGACTGGATGTGATGTCACTGTTGGTTTTAGACTGTATTGACCAGAAGTACCCCCTTTGACCAGGAAATGTGGTGTATTTAAACATGATAGTTTGTCGGCCCGCTACCTACTGAAGAAGTAATTTGCAGGGCCTAATGCGTATAGGAGCAGTTCTTTCTTAATGATGTCATCACACTATTCGTCTAGGAGCTGGAGGATTGTGTTGTGATCTGCAAACTTTTCAGATTGTTTTATGTGACTGTAATTTTATCCTTTTATTTAAATAAATGCATAAATTGAGCATTATACATCTTAATTTCTGTCCTATACTATTGATGCGTTTATAGTTCACAGAGGATGTATGGCAGAGGAATAAAGACAGAAGATAGACCAGAATGATGTACTCGCATGTGGGAAAAGCAGTTATGACCTGATCTATTAGGAAGCTTTGATGTCAGATACTGAGATGAGCAGACTCATGTTACACAGGGTGAAGTGTGTTTTGGACCGTTTTTGAAGAGGGATGTCACCATCATAGAAGAGTCACACAATTTTTCATCACGGGCTTTCCTATGAGACTATTTTGTCTCTTGAATTAATTTCACTATTGTTCAGGACTTTCTATCTACATCCTCACATATTATTTGCACTGTGAACATATATTCTATGTGTATTTTCTTATTTTGTTATATATTATTAATTTTTGTTTGGTTTTTGTGTTGGGGTAGCACTGCACTATTATATCTATTGACATATTCTCTGTACTGCTTTGTAACAAAACTGAGGCATGGAGGGGTTTTAATGGGTGGGTTTTTTTTTTTTTGCATGTTAATGACCTGTAGGTGATAGCATACCAAAAATTCTCTGAATTCTATGTCCCTCAGCATACTCCAAGAAAAGAATTGTATAGCATACACAAAAATCCTGTTTAATGTTCAAATATGTATTTAACTTTTTAACCTAAAAACCCAATTTAAAATCATTAAAGCACAACTTAAGTCAAATGTTTTTTTGTGTTTTTGAAGATAAGAAAATTATTGAAACTTGAGTGTTTTCATCTGCTGTCAGTGTCCCATTGGGGGAATTTACTTTCACTTCCTTTCCCAGAGGCATAAAAAAGGAAGAGGAATTCCCCTTTTTTCCACAGATTTCATCAAAATTGATGTCCCCATTGAAAGATTTCCCCTCACCTCCTGTCCAGGTGACAAACGTAAAGTTTTGGATTTCCCATCACTTCCTGCCTCAATGACAATAGTCATCAAGAGAAATATAGCGGGCGATTCCCTCCAAACAGAGAAAGAAATACAAACCTGAGAGATGTTCTAACCCTTTCATTTTCCACCCCACAAATCGTTTTACACATAGATATACCATCGACATATTTTCCACATGCTGATTTGCCATCAAGACAATTTTCTTTTACTGCCCTTATCAGTGTATTATTCAGCTGCATTACAAGCTTTGAAAGCCATTCTGTTTTTTTCAAATAATTTTACTTTAACTTAAAAGTGCCTATCATTAAAGCAACAATCATAAGTGCAAAAAAAAAAAAAAAAAAAAAAAAATCACAAACATGATTTATGACCAACATTTGAAAAGTTGTATTTATGATGAAGAGACAAAAAACACCTCTGTTCATCACACTTCACTGATTTTTAAAATGCATACATCTGATACAAGGATCTTGTAAGTATTGGAAAACTCCACTCAACAGCATTCTGTCATGGTTTTGGGGTGAGTGTTACAAGTACATAAATCTTTCTGCTGTTTGGAGGTGTTGGATGCAGGGATTTAAATAGGACAGTTATTGTCAGTGTATAGTGTATCTTATTTTGCTGCAATGGGCAGACAGCACTCATAAGTGCCCAGCACTTCACTCACTTTCCCCTGCACTGCTGGAATGCTGTTTAGTGAAATTACCCTCTAACTCACTTAGCATTGTGACACATTCCCTTCAAACGAAGTGACTTCTCTACATGCACAGTTAATCATTTAGTAGCACAAAAATAATCCTTAAAGTATAACTAAAAGCAAAACCATTTTTTTAGTTTCGGATAGAGTGGAGAGGGATTAGTACCCCTGTCAGTTTTTATTGCTCTCTGTGCCCCTAGTAAAAAGATTCACCCTCTCGGTTTGTCCTGTTTACCATTGTCATTGAAAGTAAAAGAAAATCCCAAATTTTGGGCTGTCCCCAAAAAAGTAATAGAGGAAAATCTTCCAATGGGGACACTAGTTCTGGTGACCTGGGGACCCCCAAGGAATTCCCTTAATTTGCAGGGATTTAGTCTCACTTCCTGTTTGGCTATGGAGCAGGAGGTAAAGGGAAATCTCTGCAATGGGACACAGATGAAAATAAAAAAAATCTGACAGGGGTTATAACCCTCCCTTGCTCTATCCACAATGAAAAAAAAAAAAAGTGTTGCCTATAGTTTTAATTTAAGCCTCAGTTCACACATGATGCGGTGCGGGGATCGCACAGGAATCGCTGCGACTCCCGCACTGCATCAGTGTGAACCGAGACTAAATGTCTTAATTTCAACACTGTGAAATTATTGTATTGCATTTTGGGGTGGGGGCTGTCAACAAGGGTTAATTAGGTGCTACTAAAAATTTTACTTGCAGCTGAGCCCACATATAATAAACATTATGCCAATATTCTTGTAGTACACTGTAACTTTAAGACCTAGTTGTCTTTGGCAGAGTAGGGGTTAACAATCCCTGAAGACTAAACATACATTGAGGCTGACTAATAAAAACATGAACAATAAAAAAAAACTGAGGATGCTGTCCATGACAACAAATAAGAAATCAGATTTAACTTTCCAAACTTAATGGGAAACGAAAAGTTAGAAACTGAGTGCTTACGTCAGCCCCACTTTTGTTAGTCCTTATTTTAATAAACCAGCCTTGTGATACAATGAACATCAGCATGTCCTGCAAAATGGGTTATATTTCATGAAAGCTGCATGCAGACTGCCAATCTTGGACAGAAATACTGCTGTCTGGAAACACAAAAGGAAAAACAAAACCGTATTTTGTACTTCCAATGTATTTCTTGTAACACGCAAAAAAATTGTATATGAACAACAAAACAAAAAACGTTTTTGTCACCCTTTTTGACCTTTAGAAGAAAACACTCATTTGTATGAAAATATAAATTAAAAAGGCGCAAAAACACACTAGACACACTGCAGAACACTATAGGAGCCCCTGTGCAGCCAGGGAGAAGAGCAAAGCATTGCACAGCAATAGCTCGCTGTCAGCCCTGAGAGCAAAGGTATACGGGAATGGTCTAACGCTAAAGTGACTGTAACAGTAAAAACAAAATTAAGGCAAAGTCTTCCATCTGGGGCTGGGGGAAGGGGGTTAAGTAGTAAAGTGATACTGTGGATCCCTCAGGCAGTAGATGGGATAAAACAGGTGCTTAAGTCGTTCATAAGTTGCATTTGATCTGAACTCAACAGATGGTCAACATCAATCCATATCTCTTATGTCTGTCTCTTGATCACATAAATTAGTGTTTGTTGTTAGACAGGTACACTGGAATCCCAGAATATGATGTCAAGATCCTTTCCAAATAATATCAATACCTTTAAGTCCAAGCGAAGGTGCAGGTTGAAAAGTCAAAGTCTGTTAGATCTGGATGAGTTCAGTTTGATTGATACTACTGAAGTTATGTTCTTAAACATTCTCATACTAAAAGACAGATACAAAGTATACTGTATTTTGCCTTCACCAATAGATGCAGCACAGCCATCTTCTGAAAAGTCATGAAACAGAAAATAAGTACCTAAAGTTTAAAAATAAAAGATCCAAATCAATAATTCTGTAATTGTCCTGTAACAGAGTAAGGTATAGGATGAATACTTTCAACATAGCAGCTAAGAAGTTTGTGTTGCTTACTGCAGATGCCAGCCATGTTAAATAATGTAACAATGCATAGAGAGTTATAATGGAATGCTCTGGAAAAAGATATGTCTAAAACACCTGCAATGCCCAAACATCATTTGGGTCATCTTGAGTGCACAAATTCAACATTCGCATTTAGCTGTAAGTGGCTGCAGAGCTTGATAGAGTCAGATTGTAAGAGATTTCATATAAAAGTAACTGAAAAACTTTAACTTCATTAATATGGTGGTGAACATTAGATAGAAACAAAAAAGTAATGGTCAAAAACCTAGACCCTCAATTAAAAAAAAGAATAGTTTGCATTACTTAAATTTGGAATGAACTGCCATATTGGAAAGGATTAATGAACAGTTATTAACCTTTGTTTGCCCTAAAAACAAACAGGCAGCTGCACTTTCTCCCTTGTATTGCCTGTGTAAGGTGTGTAGGAGGTTGGCAGCTTTTAGTGCAACTTAAGTTTTGTGCCCAACCTTAGCACTCTCTATTGGGAAGAGTGACGGTTATAGCAGTCTTCCATCACCCCAATCCACGAAGCCAACAGAACATTAGAGGTAGCGGCTTGTAGAGTTCCTGTGCCAAGAAGCCAGATCTCCTCCTGCAAGCCTCAGATCAGTGGAGGCATTGTTGTGCAAACACCGGAAGCGGTATCATACAGGTAGGCCAAAGCGGTGCTTCTTTTTCTTCACAGACTTTGAGTTTGTTAACCTACGTAGATCCTCCTCACCGTCAGATTCTTCCATTTCATCATCCGCTGATATGAGAATCTAGCATAAAAAGAATAGATTAAGGCATTAAGCTTTACAGTTTCAAGATAGACTTCACCTCCTAGGCAAGCAAAACTCAAAGTGTAACTACAGCCAGAATCATAACATACATACATTATATATATATCACACACACACCGATCAGCCATAACCTTATGACCACTCAAATAATATTGAGTAGGATCCTCGTTGGCCACCAAGACAGCCCTGACCCAGTGAGGCATGATGCCACTAGAGCTCTGAACGTATGCTGTGGTATCTGGCACCAAGTTGTCGGTAGCAGATCCTTTAAGTGCAACCATGGTTTGGACTTGTTTTTCCAGCACATCCCACAGATACTTGAATGGATTGAGATCTGAAAAATTTGGAGGTAAAATCCACACCTCAAACTCATCGTGATTCACCATTTTTGAAGTGTGGAAACACTGTTAAAGAGGCCACTACTATCAGGAAACACCATTTTAATGAAAGGGTGTACTTAGCCAGCAACACTGTTTAGGTAGGTGGTACGTGCAATGTAACAGCCACATGAATGGCAAGACCCAGGGTTTCCCAGCAGAAACCTTCTACCCATACTGCATCCTGGTGCCATCGCCTCTCTAGGAAAGCAACGCACATGCACCCAGCCATCCGCATGATGTCAAAGAAAACACGATTCTCCAGACCAAGGCCACCTTCTTCAGCAAAAGAATATACATTCCACATTAATAATTATGCTACCTCTGTAGTTCAGACAGCAGGTTGTGTGAAATTTGTAACACAGCACTGCATATTCACAAGGCATAATGTGTCACAAAATTCAATAAAGTGAATGTGTGGGATTCCTCGAGATTGTTCAGATTAATACAACTAGGCTAGAATTACCAAAAATGTGAAAATGAACAGGATTTAAATTTGCATGTATGTATGTATGTATGTATGTATGTATGTATGTATGTATGTATGTATGTATGTCAGCTGCATGATTTATCGGTTAGGACACGTTCTCACAAGCGTACTTTAATGTACGCTCATGTGAGGGCTGTGCTTTCAGGGCTGTGCACCTGCACCCATGCTGCTGTCAAATTGGGAGAAGGCTGTTTCCATGCAGCAGCTGTATCCCAATTGATATGAATGGAACTGCCCACACAGAGATGCATGGAATACCTGTGCATCCCTATACAGGCAAACATGCCCTCGCATGGACGTATGCTATAGGCCTTAGTTTTTATTTTTTCTTTAAAAAGTAAAAATGATTCTGCATTGTTTCATTTGGTTTTGCAATAATGACACAATTGCTATAAAGACAATGTGACAACAAGCACAAAACAAAAGGATAATGTAGAGGTATCACAAAAGAGTGCTTCTAACAGTTTTAAAAGGTAAGGGAAAGGAAAAAATGGTGACTGAAAATTGCAACATGTCATGCTTGCTCAGCAACTTCAACTAGTAGTCTCATGCTGTACAGTCCTTGATTTAAATCAAGTATAATGTAGGAAAATATTGCATGTAGGACTATTAGAATGATGTGGCCCTCCTTTACCAACAACACCTACAAAGAAAGAAAGAGGCTTTGTCTCTAGAAAAGTGAGGAGGCAGTAATGAAGTTACAATATCAGACACTCATAATAGGACTGTGCAAAAGCCCAATATGTAAAGGAATACAATGACAACATTGAGAAAAATACCTTTCCTTTTTTAGACTTCAAGCCTTCTAGTAAGAAATAAAGTGGCAGTGGAGACTGGATTGTGCCAGTGCCAAGTACATGTATGCCAATAAGTATGACAACACCAATGCCACAGTTTTATGAAACACAGATGGTACTGTTTATATATGCAAAGCCAGAAAATCAGGAAGCCTATTACTAGGTCAACAGCAGTGAACTTTCTCTTTAAAAAGGGTAAGAAAACATTATTTATACAAGCACCATACATGTGATAATCATAAATCCAATGTATAGATATAACAATTAACAACAAGGAGGGCAAAGAAGGAAGATGTGTCCAAACAGCATCAACTGATATAAGGGTCTGAGTTAAAGGATAAGTTCACCTTTGGGAACAAGTTACATGCATGGCGCTGTGGAGTGCTGTGGTAGTTCAGGTCTGCAAGAGACCTGCATGGAACCAGTGATCTGCTGACCGCTGGTGCAATGGGGAAGGGGTTCTGGTAAACATGTGTTTACCAGCCCCCTTTCTTTGGATATAATGAGCAGTCAGTAGTGATTGCTCCTCTACATTCATTGCTAAACTATAGTGAACACTATACTGGATAGTGCACACTACTATACTGAAGTTTACATATATGCATTGGAGTCGTTATAGACTCCTATGTATTCACAACAGTGCAGCTGAGGCTGCAGAGAAAGGGAATGTCTTCAGTCCCTTTCTCTGTCTCAAAAAAAACATCAGGGGTTTGCTTACACTTCTGATATTTCACCAGAGCCCCTCCACCCCAAAAAAAAAAAACAAAAAAAAAAAAAAAAAAAAAAAAAAAAAAAAAAACACCTCCTTTCATTGTCTCTTAGCTGCAGGCTCCGTTTTTTTAAAAAAAAAAATCTGTCCAACATCACTTGTCTTTTCCTGCGCTGCATAACCCCCAGAAATAAGAGACCATGTTATGGCTCATCAGATTCAACACTCGGTTAAGTTATGTTGGGGTGGTGCTTCTCAAAAAAATCATGGCACTCACTTCATTTTTCCATAACGGATTTTATGGCATCACTGCTAACCTCCTCTCCATTCTTCCTCTTCCTCAGTGGAATGCTCCTCAATATGCGCCTTCTGCTGCTCACTGTGGAGTTCAGAAAGTTATTCTGTGGTTAGCTCCTCCTTATGTTCCTCAACAAGCTCCTATATGTCTGCACCATCGACGGCCAAACCCATACTCTTGCCCACAGACACGATCTCCTCCACTACCTCTGCATCAGACCCTTCAAAGTCACATTCAGTGACACATTCTGGCCACAGTTTCCTCCAGGCTGAGTTTAAGATCCGCTACATGACATCTTCCCAGGCTTTGTCAATGAGGTTGATGCAGTGGAGAAAATTGAAATGTTTCTTCCAGAATTCTTTCAGACTCAAGAACATCTCTTCAGTAGAATTAAAACACCTAGTGAAGAACGCCTTTGTGTACAGCTTCTTGAATTTGCAGGTCACTTACTGGTCCATGGGCTGTAGAAGAGGTGTCGTGTTGGGGAGGAGGAACTTGACCTTTATGAAGTCATACTCAGTGTCCATATCATCCACCAAGGCTGAAGGGTGTGCCGAAGCATTGTCTATCAGAAGAAGGAACCTTTCAGGCAATTGGTTGTCAGAAAGATATTTTCGCACAGTGGGTGCAAACACCTCATGCAGCCATTCCATGAACAATTGCCTTGTGACCCAAGCTTTCGCATTGGCCCTCCACAGCACAGGAAGTGTGGCCTTGTTCACATTATGTTCCCTGATGCACGAGGGGTCTGGGAATGGTACACCAGTAGTGACTTAATCTTCAGATCGGCGCTTGCGTTCGCACGCAGCAAAAGGGTCAAACTGTCCTTCGTGGGCTTGTGCCCCGGCAGTGCCTTTTCCTCCTATGTGATATAGGTTCTGTTCAGCATCTTTTTCCAGAAGATCCCTGTTTAATCACAGTTGAACACTTGTAGAGCTATGTATCCTTCTGCCTTCATGAATTCCGCAAATTCTTTCTTGTAGGTTTTTGCAGCGGCCTTGTCAGAACTGGAATATTCACCATGTCTTGTCACACTGTGGATGCCACTTCTCTTGCGGAATTTTTCAAACCACCCACTACTGGCTTTAAATTCTTCACTTGCTGCACTTGTAGAGGGTTTTTTTTTTTTTTTTGCAGTAAATCGTGTGCAATTTTTTGGCTTTTTAACATATTATAGTTTCACTAACACTATCGCCTGTCACCTGTTTCTCATTCAACCACACTAATAAAAGTTTTTCCACCTCTTCCAGCGCTTGCGTCCTCTGCTTGGTTAACATCATTACTCCATTTGCCACATCAGCTCCTTTGATGGCAGCTTCCTTCTTCAAAATAGTCGAAATTGTCGACTTCATCATCTTGTACTCCAAGGCCAGATCAGTCACACGAATACCACAGTCATGCTTTTCTAGAATTTTCTTCCTCAACTCAATGGTTATTTTCTTCACAACCTTATTCTTACCATGCTTGCTCTGCATGTTCTTGTCACCTTCATTACAGCTCTGCACGTTCTTGTCACCTTCATTCCCGCTCTGCACGTTCTTGTCACCTTCATTACCGCTCTGCACGTTCTTGTCCCCTTCATTACCGCTCTGCACGTTCTTGTCCCCTTCATTACCGCTCTGCACGTTCTTGTCCCCTTCATTACCGCTCTGCACGTTCTTGTCCCCTTCATTACGGCTCTGCACGTTCTTGTCCCCTTCATTACGGCTCTGCACGTTCTTGTCCCCTTCATTACGGCTCTGCACGTTCTTGTCCCCTTCATTACGGCTCTGCACGTTCTTGTCACCTTCATTACCGCTTTGCACGTTCTTGTCATCTTCATTACCACTCTGCACTTTTTTAACAACATGCTTGCTCTGCACATTCTGGTCACCTTCATTACTGCTCTGCAAGTTCTGGTCACCTTCATTACCACTCTGCACTTTCTTTTCAACAACATGCTTGCTCTGCATATTCTTGTCACCTTTATCACAGCTCTGCACATTTTTCTTACCACCATGCTTGCTCTGAATTTTCTTTGGAGCCATACTGCATGTCCGGTACAGTAAGTGCTAAAAAGCACACAAAAAAGCTTTACAGCAAGTGTGCACAGGGATGTACAGTATGTGCTAAAAAGCACACCAAAAAGCTTCTCAGTACTGCAAGTGTCTTCACAGTACATTTTCAGTGTCTGTCTGTGACCACGATCTTGCCTACAGGAAGTCACGACCATGTGTCAGAGCAGGGAAGATTGTCGCGGCTCGTGCTCGTTAACCGGAGCGGAGTTCGGAAACCAAAGCAAATTTTTGCGAACTCTTTTGTTCGTGAACCGAGGCCTCACTGTATTTGAAAAGCGTGGCATGCATTGAATGCCCCCTGAGTCAATACTTTCTAGAACCACCTTTTCGCTGCAATTATACCTGCAAGTCTTTTTGCATATGTCTCTACCAACTTTGCTCATCTTAAGAGTGACATTTTTGCCCTTTCTTTTACAAAATAGCTCAAGCTCTGTCAGACTGGATGGAGAGTGTCTGTGGACAGCAATTTCCAAGTCTTGCCAGATTCCCAATTGGATTTAGGTCTGGACTTTGACTGGGCCATTCTAACACATTCATATGCTTTGATCTAAACCATTCTATTGTAGCTTTGGCTGTATGTTCAGGGCCCTTGTCCTGCTGGAAGGTGAACCTCTGACCCATTCTCAAGTCTTTTGCAGACTCTTACCAGGTTTTCTTCTAATAATGCCCTGTATTTGGCTCCATCCATCTTCCCATAAACTCTGACCAGCTTCCCTGTCCCTGCTGAAGAAAAGCATCCCCACAACATGATGCTGCCACAATGTTTCACGGTGGGGATGGTGTGTTCAGGGTGATGTGCAGTGTTAGTTTTCCGCCACACAGAGTTTTGCTTGTAAAGCATAAAATCCAATTTTGGTCTCATCTGACCAGAACACCTTCTTCCACATGTTTGCTGTGTCCCACACATGGCTTCTCAAAAACTGCAAACCGGACTTCTTATGGCTTTCAACAATGGATTTCTTCTTGCCACCCTTCCATAAAAGGCCAGATTTGTGGAGTGCACGAATAATAGTTGTCCTATGGACAGATTCTCCCACCTGAGCTGCGGATCTTTACAGCTCCTCCAGAGTTATCATGGGCCTCTTGTCTGCTTCTCTGATTAATGCTCTCCTTGCCCAACCTCTCAGTTTAGGTGCACGGCCATGTCTTGTTAGGTTTGTAGTTGTACCATACTCTTTCAATTTTTGGCGGATGGATTGAACAGTGCTCCGTGAGATGTTCAAAGTTTGGGATATTTTTTTTATACCCGAATACTGCATTAAACTTCTCCACAACTTTATCCCTGACCTATCTGGCGTTTTCCTTGGCCTTCATGATGCTGTTTGTTAACTAATATTCTCTAACAAACCGCTGAGGGCTTCACAAAACAGCTGTATTTATACTGAGGTTAAATTACACACAGGTGGACTCTATTTGCTAATTAGGTGACTTCTGAAGGCAATTGGTTCCACTAGATTTTTGTTAGGGGTATCAGAGAAAATGGGGCTGAACACAAATGCATGCCACACTTTTCAGATATTTATTTGTAAAACATTTTGAAAACCAATTATCATGTTCCTTCCGCTTCACAATTATGTGCCACTTTGTGTTGGTCTATCACATAAAATCCCAATAAAATAAATTTATGTTTTTGGTTGTAACATCACAAAATGTGGAAAATTTCAAGGAGTATGAATACTTTTTCAAAGCACTGGAACTGTCTTCCCCCACACAATTTATATATCTTTAAATATAATTTTGATCACTCATGGTGCATGTTATCCATTCACCGTTTAATATAACCTCTTCTAACCAGGACCTTTACTCAATCAACTTTCTTCCAAAGTTCCATGAAGTTAGGGCTTCATTCTTCATGTTTGGCCCTCCCATAACCTTTTTTTTGGATGAATTATGAGCATATCTACTCTGTCCTTTTTAAAACATTCCAGTGAAAATAAAAGGTCACTCTTAAAAAGTATAAAAAGGCTCATCTTAAATTATTATTTGTAATAGTAAAACCTTTAGAATACCCTTCTATTATCTAGAACAGGGGTCTGCAAACTTTGTAAACAAAGTGCCAGTTTACTGTCCTTCAGATTTCAGGGGGGCCGGACTATAGCCAATTGGGAGTAGATAGTGTCTGCGAGAGTAAACAGTGCATCTTTGGTATTAGGGGGAGGAATAGTGCACTATCGTAGGTGTCAGTGGGAGGAATAGTTCCCCATCTTTGGTGTCAGTGGGAGAAATACTGCTCCCTTGTTGATGTTATTAACAGTAACTATGCCCCTTAGTTGGTGTCAGGGGGAGGAATAGTGTATTGCATTAGTGGCAGGAAAAGTGCCCTAAAGACCAGATAAAGTAAGCAAAGGGCCGCAGTTTGGAGACTACGGATCTAGAATATTGGAATTTGGTCTGTTTCAAATTTTAGCAATAATTATTTATACAAGCGCATCCATGGCATTTCGCTTCATGGTTGACTCTTTGGGCATACAAGAGATGGACTGGGTTGGAAAGGTTATGGTTGGCTCCTGCCCACTCCTCTGGCCCTCTCAGAAGATAATTTGTCAATGCCCACTTTCTCTACTCTAGTCAGTTTTCTGTTCTATAAGGGGAAGTTGTAAAGAGAATTTTAATTTCCTAAGCGCACCCTGTAAGTAGGCAACCTTCATGCCCACAGAAGCCAGAAGGTCTCCTGGATGACCAACCTGGTGAATTCCCTTTGAAAATTTGTACCTAGAGAAAGGTAGCATGAAGGTTCAACAATCTCTGCAGGGACGTTAGCAAGTTGGACAACATGCAGATAGGCGGCAGTAGAGACAGAAATTTCAGGCTTGTAGCCTCTAGATACAACGCTCTGGGCCCAAATATGTAAAATGTCCAGGAAACAGATTGTCCACAAAGGCAAACAGACATTCTCCAACTCTAGACTGGTTTTGGCCTTTAATGTGAGGAGGACTTAATTATGGACTTAGAGGATTTAGGTGTCCAGGACGTATGGCAGAACTGAGTTCCAGGATTTGCCATGGAGGTTTTGAAGAAGAATGAAAGGAAATCTTTTAGCCTCTGAGGTGGAGGGCTTACCAGTCTGAGGCTTAGCCTTGTTTTGTTGGGGCAAAAACAAACAATTTTATTTTGGAACTCGGAAAGCTATTTTTTCCCCCTGTTTGCTTACCTCAGACTCTGATTCATCATAAGAGGCTGCCCGTCGGTATCGCACTTTGTTACCATTGCGGGAGTCTGGACTTCCTTCCTTCTCTTCCATCTTGGCTTTTGTTTTCCCTTTCTTCATCAGAAAATTGTCCACCACCCAGAACATTAATGCCTGTTGAAGAGAAACAAACAGCAAGAACTTATCCAACAACCACCAGAACTAAACTAGCATCCTGAATTAGGCTGTATAATAAATGTATAGTCAGAATATGGAAGAAGTTCAATTTCAATTTTATTAATGTGTTCTGTTCCCCAGGGAGCAAGGTACATGTAGTACTTCGTCCCTTGTAGCTGTGAGGATAGACAGGGCAACTCGCCCACCCCCATGGTCATTTGATAACTAAGCTCAGCTGCTTAGACAGATGGAACTTTACTTCATCTTCAAGCACTTGCTCAAGACAAGCTCCTTACGAGGAGTGCAGGGGGAGATGGACAAGTCAGCTAAAATGCAAGTGGGTAAGTGCTTTGAGAAAAATACAATCTGTTGAAGCAGCCATCTTTTTGCTAGCTGCAATGTTGGATGACTGTGGGGAAAGAAGCTGCCCTGCTTAATCTCACAGCTTACATTAATCTGGCCATACATGGAACAAAAGCCTCAGTAGAGATCAGGTGAATTTCAATCTAAGTATGGGCAGGGGAGCTGTGCTGAAGTCGATCTACTGGTTAACAACTGTACAACCACTCTGCTGGATTTTTTCCTGATCAGTGTATTCTGATTGCAGGGACATCTCTTCATTGTCAGAAAACAAAGGCACAGCGAAGGATTCCTCCATCCATTCTGAATGTGTGGATGGGGGAAATCGAGTGATTTTTTTTTTCATTCAACCCGCAGGTTGAACGAAAAAAAAATGAAATAACTTCTGGGCTGCTTTAGACAGCACCCAGGAAGGTAGGACAAAGTGCTGCATGTGTTTTGTCCCCTGAAGTGAGACTATCTTTAACCTAACTCAGTTTTATTCACTAGAGATAATGCAACTACAATTATTACTACTAAATTATGGAGAGAAAAAAAAAAAAAAAAAAAAAAGACAACTGGAAACAATTGCTACATTGCTTTCCATATATCAATGCAGGTTTTTACAATCAATTTCATGTAGTGAGTGAAACCAACCAGTGAACTGCTAATGCTTTTAAGAAAATACAAACTTTGTAAACATCACAAGCAAACAGCTGATATAGTTAAAGTGTATGTTGCCCCAACATTTCATATTCCTGTAAGGTGTCTGTTACCAAGTACTTTTATGAAAAAGTAACCTATTCACTTTACATAGCGTCTTTTGTGTGAAATACCTGGTGATCCCGCATGTAAAAATCTACATTCCTGTTTCTGACCAGACCAAGCATGAAAGTAAATCCATCCCAGCATGTTCAGTTTGCCTCTTTGCATTCTACATGGGAGCAAAGCCTACCTGTACTATAGTAGTCACACTTCTGCTGGCATGTCCTCCTGCTTCACTGGAAAGATCAGTGTACTACTGTTTCTCTGCCACCAGCTAACATGCCTCCCCTCCTCATGCAGCATTTCACAGTGTGTTTCTGTCCGTGTATTTTATAATAGACTTTGCCTCTGCTTCCTTCAAGCTGCTCTTACCACATACATGGATTGAAATTCAGCTAGTTCAGCAGGGAGCAGCCAAATTTCAATCCATGTATGTGCTAGCTGGTTACACAGTCAATCTATCGAACACCTTGTGTGCAACCAGCCTGTCAGGTTTTTCCCGAACAATCTGTACCACCGGCAACTAGCAACATCGATCATTATATTTTGATGGCAGGGATACCTCTCCACTGTCAGAATACAATACCGCAGTGGGAAGGATTCCCCCATACAAATTATATGTGTGGATGAGGAAATTGGCTCAGCCTAAAGGAAGATCAATGGGTGGTGTTGAAATGTGCATAAATGTACTTTTAAGCAGGTCCCTCTACACTCTGGTCACTTGAGCAGCAAGTGACAAGCATAGACAGCTACAGTGGGAAAAGTAATTATTTGATCCCCTGCAGATTTCGTAAGTTTGCCCACTTACAAAGAAATGAAGGGTCTATCATTTTTATCATAGGTGTATCTTAAATGATAGAGACAGAATATCAACCAAAAATCCAGAAAAAAAAACACATGACACAACTGTTAGAAATTGAGTTGCAGTTCAGTGAGTAAAATAAGTATTTGATCCTCAAGCAAAACGTGACTTAGTACTTCGTGGAGAAACCATTGTTGGCAAGCACAGAGGTAAGACGATTCTTGTAGTTGGTTACCAGGTTTGCTCACATCTCAGGAGGGATATTGGTCCACTCTTCTTTACAGATCTTTTTTAAATCCTAAAGATTTCTTGGCAACTTCAAGTTTCAGCACCCTACATACATTTTCAAGAGAATTAAGGTTTGGAGACTGGCTAGGCCACTCCATGACCTTAATATGTTTCTTCTTGAGCCACTCCTTTGTTGCCTTGGCAGTATATTTTGGGTCATTGTCATGCTGGAAGACCCATCTTCAATGTTCTGGCTAAGGGAAGAAGGTTCTCATCCAAGATTTTACAATACATGGCCCCGTCCATTGTCCCCTCAATGTGGCAAAGTCAGCTTGCACCTTTAGCAGAGAAACAGCCCCAAAGCATACTGTTTCCATCTCCATGCTTGACTGTAGGGATGGTGTTCTTAGGGTCATAATCAGAATTTTTCTTTCTTCAAACACAGTGAGTTGAGTAAATGCCAAAGAGCTCAATTTTGGTATCATCTGACCACAGCACTAATCCTTCTATGAATCATTTAGATGTTCATTGGCAAACTTTAGACAGTCATGTACATGTGCCTTCATGAGGAGGGGAACCTTGCGGGTGCTACAGGATTCATGGTGGCGTATTGTGTTACCAATAGTTTGTTTGGTAACTGTGGTCTCAACTGCCTTCAGATCATTCACAAGCTCCTTCCATGTAGTTCGGGCTGATCCTTAAATTTATCATGATCATACTTACCCCATGAGGTGAAATCTTGCATGGAGCTCCAGACCAAGGGCAATTGATGGTTATTTTGTATTTCTTCCATTTGCGAATAATCACTCCAACAGTTGTCTTCTTCTCACCAAGCTTCTTGCTGATGGTTTTGTAGCCCATTCCAGCCATGTGCAGGTATACAATCTTGTCCCTGATGTCCTTTGACAGCTCTTTGGTCTTGTCCAGGATGGTGAAGAAGAAATTGACAGGACCAATCTGTGTACCACATGAGCACAAACCCAGTCTGAGGGAGCCAGAATTGTTCGTTGGTAGGGGGGGGGGGGGGGGGGGGGGATCAAATACTTATTTTACTCACTGAACTGCAACTCAATTTATAACATTTGTATAATGTGTTTTTTCTGGAATTTTGGTTGATATTCTGTCTCTATCATTTAAAATACACCTATGATAAACATTAAAAGACCCTTTATTTCTTTGTAAGTAGGCAAACTTACAAAATCTGCAGGAGATCAAATTATTATATTCCACAATGTATGTAAACATTATATAAAGCACATTGATCAGGGAAATATCTCTTGCCTTAAATCTATCTATCTAAATCCAAAAACACATTTTAGAGATTGTAGCTTGCCAGTCGTTAGATGTAGTTGCTGCATTATTGTTTCACGTTTTTTTTTCTTCCTTTTTTTTCCCCACATAATTTTGTTAGTAACACACTTCCTGTCTTAGCGTGAAAACACTCACTCACTGTGCTGTAGCTAGGGAGGAGAAGCCTTGTCACCCTAGGCTAATCTCCTGATTTAAACTACAAACACCTTGCTCTCCTCATGTTCATAAAATAGAGAGGTCTTCTTTAGGTCAAAGAATAGGACTTGGAAGGGTGATGACGAGACTCGTTCAGTGCACAGAAATAAAAAGGATACTGGTAACTGGTAATACAAGTATTATTCTGTACTTGGAGAAAATTAACAGAGCCTTAAAAAAATCCTTAAATATCCTTTATTGCCAATCCCCTTAACAACCTCTCCCTTATTTAAAATATGTCTGATAAATATATGAATATAGTAAGGAATTTAGTTAAGGAAATAATTTTTATCAATTAGGTTATCATTAAATTGAAAAATAAACTTACATTAACAAAGAAGGGCACAATAAGCATCACGATGGCCAGCTCCAGTCTAGGGCTATTAGATGGTAAATTTAACATGGCAACCTGCAGAATAGGAAAACAACATTTTTCATTTTTGTTGTGGAATGTCAGAAGCACTAGTCATGTGCACATTGTAGAAATTGTTCTTCGTGTGCATGAGTTAAGTGTTAAAAAAGTCACATGATCCAAGTGTTTTTTAAATATTCAGAAGTTAATCACATACACTCTCACACGTGTATAAATTGTAAAACTAATACCTCTTTTAGTCTGGGTATAAGCAGGACTAGAACTATTGCAGTTTTTTCAAACATCATGATGAGGATGTAGAGGGCACACTGGCCAACCCAAGCTTTACACTGGATAGGATCACCTGTGATACAAGAAATGATAGTTAGTACACGACAGAGTACATCTCCAAACTTTCTCAACAAAGGACCAGTGTACTGCCCTTCAGACTTTAGGGGGGCTGGACTGTGACCAGTGGAAGTAGAAAGTGCTCCAGCATCAGTGTGAGTAAAAAAAAAAAAAAAAAAAAAAAAAAAAAAAATAGTACTTGTAATCAGTAGGTGGAGTAATTGTGCTCCATCATTGGTGCCAACGGGAGGAATATTGCCCCATCATTGGTGTAAGTGGGAGAAATAGTGTTCCACAGTTGGTATCAGTGGAAGGAATAGTCTCTCATCTTTGGTTTCAGTGGGAGAAATACTTTCCTATCTTGGTGTCAGTGGAAGCAATAGTGCCTCATTGTTGGTGTATTCAACCAGGATATCAGTGGATGTATATTAAAATAACTAAAAAAAAATTTCAGCTCCAGCCTCCGCTTTTCCTTCTCTGTCTCCTTAACCCCCCCTTGGTGGGATGAGGGGTGTGTATCCAACTTGTTACCCTTGCCTTGGGGAATAGAGGGGGAAAGGAAAAAAGAAAAAAAAAAAGAAGATTGTACATTGTGTTGCATTGCACATTTTAGACTTCATTTCTTCCAAGACTTCTGTATTTGCCGTAGATGCAAAAACTGAATGTTGGCCCTCCTAAGTATGCCCTGGCTGTTGCTGGAGGGTACCAGGCTATGAATGTTCTGCACCTCATGAGTCTTGCATGTTTCTAGAGTGCATTGTAGTTTTATGCCACCTTTTTGCATTTTTTCTCTCTCCTGTTTGTAAACTTATGTGATCTGTTGGAGAAATGTCTATACGTGATGTTAACATGCAGAATACAACATCAGATGGGAGTATGTATTGTGTTTGCGTTTAAGAATTAAAAATAAAAAAAAAAATCAACTCCAAAATAAACTACTTCAACTGCCCAATGGCATCTTATTTCTCTTAATAGCGAGATTTCCCAACAGAAATTTGTGACCTTCCCCCTCGTCAATAGATTTTACCAGTCTGTGATTCCCACCAAAAACTGTTGGCCTTTATTCCATGTTACCTGTGCATCTAAAAGACACCAAAAGATAACACTGTGGTTATACACTAGCTATGCTTTAACTGCTAAACACTAACAGCTGCATAAAAGAACCCGCATCTTCACAAATACCTTCAAAAGAAAATGTGTTCACAAATACCAAAGCCAAGCACAGCCACTGAGCTCTGGGCAATGTCCCTTCCTCCCATTCTACAGAATCAAGCATTATCACTGCTATAAAGTGGGTCACAGATCTCTTCATTTCCTGAAGGGAAACATAAGAAATTGCTGAATTTAATTTTAAATCAGCCACAGGCCAGTATCCTTTTCAATGTTAACAGCTATACAGCATACAGAGAGACTGTTAACATAACATGTGCTTACTACACAACAGCTGACATTGTGCCAGGAAGCAGAACAAATTTTAGAGCAGGGAACAAGTGACTCAGACACCCAGAAAAACACCCCGAGAAGAACATTCCTACTTAAGCCAGTCAGTAGTCAATACATTTAGAAATGAAACATCGTTTTGACCGGTCTTCCGGGAATAAAGTGACACAGAACTATACTGTATAAATAGTCGATGAACATCTGCTATATATAGTTCAAACGATAATATAACATTTCCAGTCTAGGGAATGCTGTAAATATTGCTGTATGTTTGGTAATAAAACTGAATCAATCATTCTTCTATAGAGAGAACATGACACAATGGCTACTTTTGGTGACTGCACACAAGCAACATATAAAAAAAAAAAAAAAAAAAAAAGACAAAAAGGAAAAAAGGCGAAAAAACATGCACACACACTGAACACGGATGTAGAATAAGGTTTGCACTGAGCACTGTCACAGTAAGTTTTGCCCTGATTGCTGATGTAGATGGCGGTTTGCACTGTGCAACAATGGAAAGTTAATTTTGCACCTAGCACAACTGCAAAGGAGTAAAATCTAACATTTATACTTGTATTCATTGTTCTATCTATATGTATTTGCTGTTATATCTACAGAGACAACTATCACTCCATGAACGGTGGATCAAAAAATTATTTTAGGGGTTCCCTGAGATCTTAAAAAAAAAACAAACAAAAAAAAAAAAAAAACAAAGTCTGTCCTTTCAGGGCAGAAAGACTGAAAAAGACTTGACAGTGTGTCACTAGAGTAATTGGGAGGTGTTTTGAAAATAAATGTTTTATTAATTCAACACAAATATTGACTTAACTGCCTTCTATTCTTAAGCCGGTCATAGACAGGTCAAAATTAATTCAATCCATCTATGAGCAGGCTAGTTGTACTGAAGTCAATCAATCAACCTGTGGTTGATTGAAAAGAAAAACTGTGTAATGTATGTAATGTAAGTCTTACAAAGCAGGAGTGCTTTATTTAAAAATAAATTAGCACAATATAACACAATGCATATAAAGAACTTTGATATGGCATACAAAACACAGCTGTAATGGATACAGTACAAATGAAACAACAGCATTGAAGGAGGACTGAAAAGCCAGTTGGGTAGTCACACTTGCACACTAAACAGTAATGTATCACACAGAGTTCTCAAGATTAGGGCTGATGGAATCCATGGAAATAGGTGGAATGGAAGGGGGGGGGGGGGGGAAGATTGAACAAGACGAGAGGGAGGGGAAGGAAGTGCCAGATACCTTATAGCATATCTCCCATAGGTGCTGAGCCCAGAGCCCTAAGGGGACCCAACCATAAGTCCAAGTACTGCAACGTCCAAGGGAGCCACACTTTATCATATTTCCATGGACATTCACGTTTCAAGTAGGTGAATTTATACATAGGCAATACCATATCAATTGTGAACTCCCAGGACAACACAACAGTGGGGTCCACTGAGGTCCATCTCAATAAAACTTCCCTTTTAGTATAGTATAGTAGGTAGGATATTAGCAGTTTAAGATGGTGGGAGCGTTGCTATGGCCCGTCTTAGTCTTGAATTTGAAAATGAAGTAGAAGAGGGCAGTGTGTACCCGATCCTCAGTCCCCTTGCATACTCAGGCACGGCAGTTCAAAGGCAATAATGTGCAGTGAGCTGAAAGATATGTGCATAGGAGTGGCTCCCTGCCCAACCCAGAGACATGGCCCACTCTCCTTGTACTCCCTGCTGTCAGTACCAAAGCTGTGGCAGTGTGGGTAAGTATTCCATTACTGATCCAGCTGGCAACTCTATGAGAATAGTTCAGTGCTAGAGCACGCACAACCACACTCCTACAGGAAGCTGGAGCAGGGGAGATTTCAAAAGCATTTATCTAGTTGTCAGGTGCTACCAGATAGTGACTTGTCTAGAAGGGACCCAGATCGGTCCGAATAAAGGTGCACTGAGTAAGTATATTTTTAATTTATTGGGTTAAGTGTCACTTTAAATTTCTGACTAAAACTGGTAACCCAGTTCCAAGGAAAAAAAACAACATGTAGACATAATCTATCATAATTAGCAAATGTACAAAAATAATGTACCGTATTCTCCAAAGCGTAAAGAGTCCCACTGCCTCCATTCCACCACCACACAGCTTACCACTCTCACGCCTGCATATATCAGCAGCATGCCCAGAGTGGCATCAAGAAGGAAATTTATTAAATACCTGTAAAAGATTAAACATTAAAAACTACAGGTCATGCCACATACAAAAAACTGGATCTGTAAAATATATTGTGGCAGTGTACACACTTGCTTTACGTTAAAATGTGGTTCACTAAAAAATCATATCACATATAGGTGTCTGTGTTTTTCATGCCATTCATGTGTCAAATTGGGAACATCTTCATCTCTTTGTTGCTTTCTGTATATAATGTACAGTGAAGGAAATAAGTATTTAATCCCCTGCTGATTTTTAATGTTTGCTCACTCACAAAGAAATGATCAGTCTAAAAATCGAATGGTAGGTGTATTGTAACACTGAGACAGAATAGCAACACAAAATTCAAAAGAAATGCATGTCTAACAAATTATGCACCGATTTGCATGTTCATAAGGGAAATAAGTATATGATCCCCTTCACAAAACATGACTTAGTACTTGGTGGCAAATCCCTTGTTGACAATCACAGAGGTCAGACGTTTCTTGCCAGATCCTCTTCAAGTCATTAAGGTTTGGTGGCTGATGTTTGGTAACTTGAACTTTCAGCTCCCTCCACAGATTTTCAATCGAATTAAGGTCTGGAGACTGGCTAGGCCACTCCAGGACCTTAATGTGCTTCTTCTTGAGCCACTCCTTTGTTGCCATGGCTGGGTGTTTTGGGTCATTATCATGCTGGAACACCCATCCACGACCCATTTTCAATGCCCTGGCTAAGGGAAGAAGGTTCTCACCCAAGTTTTGACGGTACATTGCCCCGTCCATCGTCCCTTTGATGCGGTGCAGTTGTCCTTTACCCTTAGCAGAAAAACACCCCCAAAGCAGAATGTTTCCACCACAATGTTTGACAGTTGGGATGGTGTTCTTGGGGTCATAGGCAGCATTCCTCCTCCTCCAAACACGGCGAGTTGAGTTGATGCCAAAGAGCTCGATTTTGGTCACATCTGACCACAACACTTTCAACCAGTCCTCCTCTGCATTATTCAGATGTTCAGTGGCAAAGTTCAGACGGGCCTGGACATGTGCTTTCTTGAGCAGAGGGACCTTGCGGGCACTGCAGGATTTCAATCCTTGTCGGCGTAGTGTGTTTACCAATTGTTTTCTTGGAGACTGTGGTCCCAGCTGTCTGGAGATCATTGACAAGATCCTCAAGTGTAGTTCTGGGATAATTCCTCACTGTTCTCATGATCATTGACACTTCACGAGATGAGATCTTGCATGGTGCACCAGACCTAGGGAGACTGACAGTTGTTTTGTGTTTCTTCCATTTGCGAATGATTGCACCAACTATTGTGACCTTCTCACCAAGCTGCTTGGCGATAGTTTGGTAGCCCAGTCCAGCCTTGTGTAGGTCTACAATCCTGTCCCTGATGTCCTTGCCATGGTGGGGAGTTTGGAATCTGATTGTTTGATTGCTCCTGTGGACAGGTGTCTTTTATACAGGTAACAAATGGGATTAGCAGCACTCCCTTTAAGAGACGGCTTCTAATCTCAGCTTGTTACCTGTATAAAAAAAAAAAAAAAAAAAAAAAAAAAAAAAGACACCTAGTAGCCAGAAATCCTGCTGAAAGATAGGGGATCAAATACTTATTTCCCTCATGAACATGCAAATACACCTTTCGATTTTTTAGACTGATCATTTCTTTGTGAGTGGGCAAACATTCAAAATCAGCAGGGGATCAAATACTTATTTCCTTCACTGTATGCTTCCTGTCAGTTCAATTGCCTGAAGAAAAGGCCAGTTTGCTTTGAAGGCATGCATTACAATCTTTTAGTCAATAAATGGCATCACCATAAATTCAAGCTTCTACTTTTGTCGAAGGCGCACATGGTACTCTACTCTTGATGAAAATGGTAACTGTAGCTTTTTCTTTATTTAGTTTTTCATTTGCTCAGAACTACCCAGTGATCCTGCTAGTTCCCCCTTGTTCCTGTTTGAATCTGACCACGCCCAGCATGAAAGAAGATCTATACTGGTGTGGTCAGTTTGTATCCCTGCGATCAATGCTAGGAGTTACAGGATACCTGTCTGTATCTTCCATAGAAAAGTTTTACAACCAAGCCCTCTGCTCAGCCATGCTGTGTGTTGATTGAGAGCAGCTCCAGGCCAAAGCCTTGCTGTCAAAAACTGCAGCGTACATAGACAAGGAATGTACTCTCCTGCATTGTAACATGAACATTTGCTATGCAGACACATCAAGTATGTCCAAGCGATGTCACAGGAAAATGCTATAGCCTCATGCAGTTAAGGCTGGTGGCACTGTGTGTCCTGAGAGAAGGAGGACAAGCAGGAGATGGCAGAGAACCCAGGGAGTATCAAGGACCATTCAGGAAAGGGAGGGCAGCAGAGTAAGTGGACTGAGACATGCCTTCACAAATGCAGGGGCGGAGAGGCCCACTGGGTGTTTTGAGCTGCAGAGAATAAAGGGCTGGGCCGAAGCCCTGTTCTACATAGGGAGGCCTACTGGGAAGCTGCCCTTATGACAACCTCCTTGTCTTAATCTTTGTATGTCATGGACAAGGTTTGTTAGGGTAATTGAGTACTAGATAGTAAAAACACTTCTCTAACAGATAAACACTGTGTGCACAATTATTAGGCAAGTGAGTTTTTTTGACCAAATGATCATTTTTATGCATATTGTCCAACTCCAAGCTGTATAAACTTGAATGCTTATTGGATTTAAGCATATCAGGCGAAGTGTATGTGTATATTGAGGGAGGGTGTGGTCTAAAGAGATCAACACCCTAAATCAAGGTGTACATAATTATTAGGCAGCTTCTTTTCCTCAGGCAAAATGGGCTAAAAAAAGATATTGAACTGATTCAAAAATTGTAAAAACGTCTTCCAGGAGGGATGCAGAACTCTTGAAATTGCTAAGACATTAGGGCATGATCACAGAACCATCAAACGTTTGTTGCAAATAGTCAACAGGGTCGCAAGAAACGTGTTGAGAAAAAAAAAATTTGAGAAGACCCAAATGTGAAGCTACCAGGAACCCATTATCCTTCAGTGCTGACATATTTCAGAGTTGCAACCGATCTGAAATGCCCTGACGTTCAAGGTGTTCAGTGCTCAGAGACATGGCCAAGGTAAGGTAGGCTAAAACCCAACCACCATTGAACAAGGCACATAAGTTGAAACATCACATCTGGGCCAAGAAATAGCTGAAGACAGATTTTTCAAAGGTTTTATGGACTGATGAAATGAGTGACTCTTGACGTACCAGATGGATGGGCCTGTGGCAGGATCAGTAACAGGCACAGAGCTGCACTTCAACTCAGACGCCAGCAAGGAGGTGGGGTTCTGGTATTATTACAGTAATAATACCAGCCCATACCAGTACCCAACCTCCGCCTTGCTGACGTCTGAGTGGAAGTAGAGCTCTGTGCCCTTACTGAGCCAACCACAGGCTGCATCCCTCTGAAAGACTTTTTACAATTTTTTACTTTTCAGAGTCAGTTAAATCTCTTTTTTGGCCCATTTTGACTGAGGAGAAGCTGCCTAATAATAATTATGCATACCTTGATACAGGGTGTTGATCTTAGGCCACACCCTCCCTCATTACACAAATACACATCACGTGATCTGCTAAATCCAATAAGCATTCACATTCATACAGCATACTCACTTCCCTAATAATTGTGCAAGGGTGCTTGCAACGCGTCTTGCTAAAGTTATCTCTAAAATTTTACAAACAGACGAATCGGGTTTAATCACGGTTAGATTGACTGCGTTGAATATTCAAAGGTTGTTTTTGAATCTTATATATAGGGGATGTATAGGGGAGAGAGGAGAGTGGACATATACGCTCCCCTCCCCTTCTTGTCTTGACCCCAAAGTGATGTTATGTCACTTCCAGGTCCCCGCAGACAGATTCACAGCCATCGAGACCAGGAATGTAATGCAGTGCGATGTGCATTACATTCAGTGGAGCACAGGGGAGACAAGCAGGGTCTGTTAGACCCTGAATGTCTCAAAAAAAAAAAAAAAAAAAAAAAATCATAACATAGGGGACTTTTTGTCCCCTATGTGATAAAAACATGTTAAACAAATAAAAAATGTTTTTTTATTTTAACTACTTGCCCTCCTGAGGATTTACACCCCCCGCCTTCCTGACCAGGCCATTGTTTGCGTTAGGCACTGCGTTACTTTAACTGACGATTGCGCAGTCATGCAACGTTGCACCCGAAATTAACTTTACATCCTTTTTTTTCCTCACAAATTGAGCTTTCTTTCGTTGGTATTTGATCGCCTGTGCGCTTTTTATTTTTGCGCAATAAAAAAAAAAAAAAAAAAAAAAAAAAAAAAAAAAAAAGACTGCTATGGTTGAATTAGATGGACTTTTGTCTTTTTTTCAGCCAGACAGACTATATGTAACTACAAGACATGCCCTTCAGGCCCAGGCCAGACTTTACACTTTGTCTCTAGCTGATCATCCTTTATTGAGGGAAGTAATGTTGGAAATAAATAAAAAGAGTATGATCTCTAGGATTTATTCCAACTTGACCTCTACTATACAGAAATTGCCCTGTATGAGCAAGTGTCAACATGACCTGGGAGATTTTGGGGGAGGGACTTGGAACTGGGCTTACAATCCATCCCACTTAGTTCTATTTCTCCATCATACAAATGATCTCAATTATTCCTGCTACATAGAGCTTAACTTACAGCAGCCCAGCTATATACATGGGGCAGATATGATTCTCCTCTTTGCCCTAAATGTCGTAGTGACAAGGGCGACCTTATACACCTGTTATGGAGATGTCCAAAATGTTTTCAATATTGGAAAGAAGTTACCAACATAATATCTGCTGTATATATGCTTACAGTACCTATGGATCATCCTGTAGTATGCCTACTGGGCACGGCTGAGTAAGAACTCTTTTCTTCACCACAACATATATAGCTATTATCAGATTACTTTATATAGCCCGAAAGCAAAATGCCCAATTCTGGATGTCTCCCCATGCCCCTACCATAAAACACTGGATCAATAAGGTTAACTCTATTCTGATCTGGGAAAAACTAACTTGCCAACATAGGAATGCACATCGTAAATTGTTTTTTCTATGGCAAGCATGGCTTGAGACCCCTGCACTAGCTCATCACCAATTAGTCATGGAACGATTATTACAGGTGTAAGAACTAATACGTTTTTTCTAAATCTTAAATTTTTATTTTGATATGACATGCTAAAAGTTGAAATTCCCATTATGTACTTTATGCTGCTAACTACGCTGTGGATAAGCAGCGTGTTTGCCAGCCTTATCAGAAGTTTTTCTTTATCTTATGTTCAATTCTTACTTGCTTACTATGCACTCTAAATATGTCACTATTACGCTTGGAAGGCTACCTAAATGCTTTGCTTGACAGTTTTGATGCCAGTTGATAATTATGCTGTGATATGTAGCTTTGTCATACAATTTTGTTGAACCTGACAGAGTGATTTACTTGCTTTTTGTATGTTTGAAACATACTGTAAGTCTCTGTATTTTATTTAGCTGGCTTAATAAACACTTTTCTTTGACTTAAAAAAACAAAAAAAACACAACACTTTTGTCATTAATCAATGCATAGGAATAATAAATCTGCTAAATCTCTTTGCCTTAAAGTGGTTGTAAACCTCAGGCATGAAATATGAACAAAGCATATTATTATTATTTTACAGGATTTATATAGCACCAACAGTTTGCGCAGCGCTTTACGATATGAAAGTAGATATTACAGTTACAATACAATTTGGTGCAAGAGGAAACAGAGGGCCCTGCTTGTTAGAGCTTACAATCTAAGAGAAAGGGTTGAGTGTTACAAAAGGTAATAGCTGTGGGGGATGAGTTGATGGAGAAAGTAAAAAGCAGCCTGTGATTGACAGCCTCAAATATATATCTGAGTGCTGTGTGAAGGGGGTGTGTCCCTTTCCTCCCATCAACTCTCAGAGTTACTGAGTGTAACTTCAGCTCTCCACCCCGTGCTTTTCAGAGCTGAGAGATCCTGCGTAAATTCTGCACTTTGAATAAATGTAGGGGAAAGAAGTAGGTAAACAGGTACAACTTGTGTAGGAGGGTTTGTTTCATCGCTGTGTACCACCTGAGGCCAGTCACTTGACTGAGTATATGTAAGGGTTTACAACCACTTTAAGAGGGTACTATTCACTCACCAAGTTAATACACACCCAATACTTGGAGTAACAGAAATGTAAAGCCACTGTCTATATAGAATAACAAATAAGATTTCACCAATAACTTTTCTAGTAATGGAAAGATAGTAGAAGCAAATTACTATATTGGCTGCCCTGAAAACAGATCTTTCAGTTTTGCTCTAGTTTTTATGTGCCTATCTTCTTTTCTTTCTTATTAAACCCCTCATATGAATTATCAGTATACTTACAGGGTACATGGATCCTCCCTGGTGAGATCTGATAAGTAGACATTCGCAAAGTGGATGAACAGCATTCCTATAGCCTGCTTGGATGTATCCAGGAACCTTCAGAAAAGAAAAACAAAATGTGAAATACATGAAGAAAGAAAAGCTTAGTCATTTTTTTTCAAAGCAGAGAAACTATCACTATTAGAGACAATTTGGGTGCATACTCTAAACACTGTACTATTGCAGTGATCATAAGCATATCACTACTTTCATCTTTAAATGCTAGAGACCGGTTACATACAGCATTAGCCAGTAACGTGTTTGACAAAGGAAGCGTAGCGTGAAAGTGAGAATAGGCACAAGTCTTCAACCAGATTTACCTGTACCCTCCCTAGTGCCACATCCGAAAAGTTGAATGGGTATATATGGTTGTCAAAAACTACAGTAATTGTTTTATGTCTCATTAGATAGAAATTCTTATCGTAAACCAGCAAAAAAAAAAAAAAAGAAATATAGGATCTGTTCTTGTAGACTTGTTTTAAAGGTGCAAACTCTTGAGCTCTCATTCTAATAGGTAACTTAACTACCTATTTAATAATCTACCTGGAACAAGCACGTGGGACAAAAATTCAGACTCATACTAGGTGCACGCTTGTTTCAGGAGCGTGACTCTATAACTAAAAGGGTTAGAACAGCAATGGGCAAACTACAGCCCGGCGGACCTTTTAATCCGGCCCGCGGAGCGTGATAAAAAAAAAAAAAAAAAAAAAAACAGCCAGGGCAGGCAAACATTGGCTGTCAGGATGTGTGTAGGCGGGGCAGCGTGACGAACGTGAGGGGAGCTAGGCTCCTCTCACAGTCCGCGCCCTGAAGACCGGAACGGCGCGGGAACACGGCGAGAGGAACGCGCGGAGCACAGGTAAGTAAATTGACACAGGGGGGACTTGGCTTACTACTTGGGGGGGAATAGTACTATGGGGGATGAAATACTATATGAGGGATGAATTACTATGGGGGATGAATTACTATGGGGAATGAATTACTATGGGGGGAGAATTACTATATGGGGGATTAATTACTATGCTTACTATAGGGGAATATTACTATACTTACTATGGATGGCATGGTAGTGGCTGGGCTGGCCAGCAGCTAGTGGGGGCATAAAAGTTTCGTAAAATAACTCTTTTTATGCTTTTCTACCTTAAATTAATCTAAACATTTAATGTTACAAATTTTAATTTAATTTATATTAATTCACACATACACATCATTCATCTACTCTTGGTCCGGCCCCCGGGTCCAATATATGAGCCCATTGCGGCCCTCAAGTCAAAAAGTTTGCCCACCCCTGGGTTAGAATGACAGCCTTGAAGCATGCACCTTTAAAAACAAGTTAGCATTTGTAGCTCCCACATTTCTTTCCTGCAAAATTACCATGGAGAGGTGGATATCAACCTGAACAACACAGAAGAGATCAGAGGTCACTATGGTGCAAAGCAATATATTTTAAGTAGATAACCCAGCAAGGCTCCATTAAATAAGAAAAGTTTTAAAAGCTCAGTAGTGAGTAAAACACCCAGCCTTCAGCTCAAGGAAGAATGACAGGATGCTGGGGAGACTGTAGTCACATGAATCATGATTTGAGGCCTAAGCGATGGCATGCAGGGTCAGGCACGATCTGTCACATGTCCATGATCACCGGGTATATTATGGTCAACAAGTTACCAACTCTACTTACAAAACAGTATACAATCCCTTTAATCCATTAACTATGCTTGACACCTAAAAAATTTCGGCTTTATATAAGGGCAATTTAGCCTACATGATACCTTTGCCAAAGTGCCTTTTTCACATCAGTCAGCAAGTGAAGAAGAATTTATGTCTTCCTATTGAAAAATGGAGGGAACCACATTCACTGAGTGCAAATCAATTCAGGGAACACACATTGCCAAGCATAAAAATTGAACTTTTGCAGTTTGAACCTGTCAAACTACGTTAAAGTACAGATTGGTACAGTGTGCAAAAATAGAGGTTCTCCAGCATCTGCAGGGAGATGTTAAAAGAGAACGAGTGAACAAGGGTCACTAGAGACCAGACCAGTTTTTATTGCTGTCTGTGTCCACACTGGGAATATTCGCTCCTCTATTTGCACTGGTGACCACTGTCACCAACAAAAAGTGAGAAGTCTGAAATTTTAGGCCTCATGCACACGGTGTCAAAAACACCGCTTTTACCTGCATTTGCCTTTTTTATGCCTCTAAACACCCCTTTATGTTAGCCTATGTGTCCATGCACCCATAGGCATTTACAGGCACTTAGAGGCAGAAAAAGAAATGCTCCACCAGTGCGTTCCGGAGAGGAGCATCTGGGCAGAAATAACGCAAAGTGCTTGTGCGTTTAGAGTAATATTCTGGCCAATAGAGTGCATTAACAAAAACGCATGATGTGGCTTTAAGCACGTTTTTTCAGCTGAATTTCTTCCCCTGGAGCACAGATGTCCATTGGGGAAAAAAAAAACAAAAAACACATTCTATGTGCATGAGGCCAGGAGCGGACTGACCATTTGGGAACTCGGGCACTTCTCGAGGGCCCAGGGTCAGTAGGGGGCCCCATGAGATGCCCCTGGTACCTGTCATAGGCTTTTTGGGGTGTGGTTTGAGTGTGGGCTAGGACACAGGGGCCCCATGATCCCCTATTCCCTGGGGTCCCATGAGTTGTCAGTCTGCCCCTGCATGAGGCCTTAGAGTTGTCTCCAAAACAAGCGACAAAGAGAAATCATCCAAATGGCTATCTGTTCAAAGAACGACTTTCTGGGGAGGAGAGGGAGAGGAGAGGGGAGTTCCCTTCACTTTGGGAGATTTCCCCTTACTGACACGTCTCTGAGACAGGAAGTAAAGGAAAATTTCCACAATCGTACAGACAGAAAAAACTGGCAGGACTTTAACGCTCCTACAAAACAATAACAAAAAATTTTGGATATGCATACACTTTAATACTTCAATACTGAATATATTGTGAACCTAAATTTGATTGCTGCTGTATCACTGTTAGTACTTTAATGTAGCTTGTGTTCAGTACAAATACAGTAAAGAATGCAATAATTAATAAGTGGAATAATGAGCTTCAAGTGACTGCAAACCTTTTTTTTTTTTTTTTTTTTTAATAAGAAACATGTTAGATTTACCTGCTCTGTGCAATAAAATTGCTCAGAGTGGCCTGATTCTCCTCTTCTCTGGTCCCAGCGCGTACTCCTGTCTCCTTCTCTTCTCGGTGCGCCACCATAGGAAGCTGCTTCCTATTGTGGCACACTTGCGGGCACAATCAGGAGCCGCACTGCCTGCATCTATGGACAGACAGCGCTACTCAGCCCCGTGCCAATGGGGGGCGGGGGGGGGGGGGATCCTACAGCACAGAAGGGTTTCTACCTTAATGCAGAGAATGCATTAAGGTAAAAAAATCTTTAAGCCTTTTGAAGCATTTTGAGTTGTCGAAAGACTTAAGAATCAATTAGGATGGATCCAGTATCCCTAGACAGATCCAGGATCACCTGACATGCTTGGACCAAACACCCAAATCCTGGCAGATGGACATGGCCACAATAGTAAACTGTAGGGCAGGGCCCATGAGGGAGAATACAAGCTTGGAATGGGCTTCATGACACCCAAATGTACTCCACAGGAACAGGCAGAGTCTTGTTAAGACAGGAAATTGCTGTCTGTCCCAGGCCTAGCAGCAGTCTCACAAATATCACAAAGATTACTATAATAATACGAAACAAACACTTCCAGTGTCTATAGCAATGGATGATTGTAATATACCACAGGATCTCTAAAGCTATAGTAAGGGACCTAAAAAATTATAGAATTATTTTGAAGAATCAACTGTTACTCTCTCTTTTATTGATTTTTTTGTTTATGGCTTGAATGTAACTTAAAGTCTTAATTTATACAATACAACTCAAAGATACCCAGTTTTAAATATAAAACTGTGCAAGAGATGTAAACAATAATCTTAATTTGAATCCAAGAATGAATATCCTATAGAAATTGGGATGTATGCGACGTTGTAAAAAAAAACGTATAGAATAAACCATTTAAAAAAAATTATCTGAAAGAAAAAAAAAAAAAAAAAGAGAAAAACGGTCGATCTACTGGCATTTTCATGCAAAACCATCTCTAGGGTTTACAGAGAATGGTTTGAAAAGGAGAAAATATCCGGTGAGCGGCAGTTGTGTGGATGAAAATGCCTTGATGTCAGAGGAGAATGGGACTGGTTCGAGATGACAGAAAGGCAACAGTAACTCAAATAACCACTTATTACAACCAAGGCATGCAGAATACCATCTCTAAATGCACAACACATCAAACCTTGAAGCAGATGGGCTACAGCAGAAGACCACAGCAGATGCCACTCCTTTCAGCTAAGAACAGGAAAAGGAGGCTACAGTTCCCTCACCAAAATTGGACAATAGAAAACTGGAAAAACATTGCTTGGTCTGATGAGTCTCAATTTCCCTAGATATGGTTGTGCGTGAAAATCCCAGTAGAACAGCAGTTTTTGAAATACTCAGACCAGCTTGTCTGACACCAACAACCATGCCAGGTTCAAAGCCACTTAAATCCCCTTTCTTCCACATTCTGATGCTCGGTTTGAACTTCAGCAAGTCACATTCCCAATGTCTAGCTGCCTTGCGTTGCTGCCATGCGATTGTATTATTAGCAATTTATGTTACCAAGCAATTGAACGGGCGGCACAGTGGCTTAGTGGTTAGCACTTCCCGCCTGGCAGTACTAGGGTTGTTGGTTCGAATCCCAACCACGGCACCACCTGCCTGGAGTTTGCATGTTCTCCCTGTGCCTGCGTGGGTTTCCTCCGGGTAATCCGGTTTCCTCCCACACTCCAAAGACATGCAGGTAGGTTAACTGGATCCTGTCTACATTGTCCATAGTATATGTATGAATGTGAGTTAGGGACCTTAGATTGTACACCCCTTGAGGGTTAGGGACTGATGTGAATGTACAATATATATATGTAAAGTGCTGCGTAAATTGGCGGCGCTATATAAGTACCTGAAATAAATAATAAATAAATAAACAAGTGTACCTAATACAGTGGCC